ACAGCTACTGCAACCGCTAGTGTAAAAGAAGATGTTGTGCGAGCTCTTGGTCTTGTTAACTGCATTGTTTTTCGGCAAAGTTATAATCGCCCAAATTTACGGCGAGTATTAAACAAAGAATCTGTTTTACTATGTTCAAATCATCACTTTTTCCAAACTGTCATTTGAAGTTGAAATGACAGTTCATTCTGTACATCGCAGATATTCTGTTGTTCCCAAGACTAAGAAGTGTCTTGATGACATTGACAAGTTCGTTAAAGAAAATCATTATGATGAAAGTGGAATAATTTATTGTCTCTCAAGAATGGACTGTGAAAAAGTTGCTGAAAGATTACAGGTTTGACTTTATCATATTCCCTTTGTAGTTCAATGGAGTCTTATGCTCTTTTTATGTTTACATTAACTTCTTTTTCTATATTTTATAGATGGAAAGTCTTGTATTGTTGCATACTCATTTAGTGCTTGAAGCTTCTTGAAAATGTATCTACTGTTTGTTAATTGTGTAATCTATGACTTTTGATGTGATGGAATTTTTTTAACTTTCTTTTTGCTTAGTTTTTTCTTGAGAGTGTATCTGTTGTTCAGGAATGTGGCCATAAAGCAGCATTTTACCATGGTAGTATGGATCCTGCTCAGCGTGCCTTTGTCCAGAAGCAGTGGAGTAAAGATGAAATCAATGTTATATGTGCTACAGTGGCATTTGGAATGGGTACTTTATTTTTTGCTGATTTCTGCCTTGCTTAACAAAGGGCACCATTACCAATATTGGAATTGGAATTCAGGTATCAACAAGCCAGATGTCCGCTTTGTAATCCATCACTCTCTGCCAAAGTCTATTGAAGGCTACCATCAGGTATCAGAGTGTTTAAATTATGGAATTTAGCAAAGTTCTTCTACTTATTTCTGAGTGATGGTTTATGCGTGGGAAGCTTAGATTAATAATTCCTTTTAGCTTACTGCATCACTATGTTTCAGGAGTGTGGTCGAGCTGGTAGAGATGGTCAGCCTTCATCTTGTGTGTTGTATTACAGTTACAGTGATTATGTAAGTTGGAGTAGTAAAACTATGTCTACTTGATTCTTGTCAGTTCTGTTGGGACAATTAAGCATTGGAATGTGAATGGCCTGTAGAAGTGGCACGTCCTCTCGTTAGTGTTATGAGGTGGAGGGTTATGTGGCCAGTTCAACACCTGTTTGGGTGCCTAACTCAATATTTCAATAAATAAATGCAAATAGAAAGAGGAAATAAAAGTGTTTACATTTGGGTTGTTTAATTTGATCATCTTAAAAAATGTAAGGGATTAATATGTTCATTATTTTTAATTTTTCTCTGCTTGCATTTATCTCTATAGTTCTTTTGCAGATTCGAGTGAGGCATATGATTAGTCAAGGAGTTGTAGGGCAAAGCCCACTGGCATCTGGATACAATCGTATCAATACTGCTAATTCTGGGAGAGTACTGGAAACAAACACCGAAAATCTTTTGCACATGGTACTTGATTTGACTTCATGTGTAGTTTTTGAGATTTAATATTGCATACCTCTTGTTTCATAAGACATATATACTAAATAAAATGATCTAAAAATTTGCAGGTCAGTTATTGTGAAAATGATGTTGATTGTCGACGACTTCTACAGCTTATTCATTTTGGAGAAAACTTTGATTCTGCAACTTGCAAAAAGACGTGTGATAATTGTTTGAAGATTAGAACTTTCAGTGAGAAAGATGTCACTGAGATTGCAAGGCAACTGGTTTGTAACGATAATAATTGTTGGGAGATGTTGGCAAATGTTTCTTTTGATGAATTTCAATTCCTTGCAACAGTTTGCAAATCCTTGCATTGTCTGTGTGTTGACTTCTGCCACATGTGCTCAGGTTGAACTGGTGAAGTTAACAGGGCAGCAGTTTTCGTCATCTCATATTCTAGAAGTCTACCGGGGCTCCTTAAACCAATTTGTATGCTTTAACTTTAAGAAATGTACAGTCCTTTCTATCTTATTTTCGTTTATAGATTGTAATGTTATATTTGTATTGTTAGGTCAAGAAACACAGGCATCAGACTGTGAGCCTGCATGGAGCTGGAAAACATCTAACCAAGGGTGAAGCTTCTCGTGTATTACGTCATCTTGTTACTGAGGACCTTCTTGTTGAGGAAGTCAAGAAAAGTGATGTTTATGGATCTATATCGTCAATACTTAAGGTACTTGTAATCCTTCGGTTCAAGCAAAACTAGGCAAGAAAATACCACTTACTGTCATCGCTGCTTGCTAGTTTTTGTATAGTAATTACATGTTTCATTTTTTTCAGGCTAATGAACTGAAAGTGCTCGAACTTTTCTCTGGCAGGAAGACAATTCTAATAAGGTTTGGATTTTTAGTCATACCATAATTTGTTTTTATTGTCACCACTATTTTTGCAATTTCCATACGAGTATTGTACTAATATGTCAAAGATCTTTGTATTAGATGCTTAAGAACTTGTTTTTATATCCATTGACCATGCATGTACAGTGTGTCCAATACTATTACTGTCAGTTGGGGACGGACTTGTGATAGATCCACCATGTTCAAAGGAACCCCCACTCCCATTCAGTTTGATTGGTCTCCCCTAAACTGCGTCTCAAAAATTTAGAATCTGTTTGGAACACATTATATGCTGTCTTGTTTTCTAAGCTTTGATGCTTCTCAAGTTTTGCAATTAGAAAGCTTTCACAAACTTGCATGATATCTTACACGGTTTATATTCATCATCGATTCATTGCTATGGATAAATTCTTTCAAAGTGAGATGATCATGTTTGTACTCCAACCATCGTTTTCTTTTTATCAAATTTGTTCTTATAATGTGCTATGATATTCTTCTTTTCACTTAAACAGTTTTTGTCTTATGAATGTCAATCGAAGTCTGTAAATTTTTGTTACTTTTCTGCCCTATAAAACTGCACTCAATAATGTTATGACTGACGTCTTAAATATGTTGTAGATTCCCTTCCACCTTTAAAGCTTCCAAACAGATTAACTCCGAAGCGATTTCAGCTAAAGGCTTACTGACATCTGGGATGCAGAGCCCTTCACATACTGGCACCGAACAACCTCAATCAAAAGGAGATTTGGTATGTTTATAGATTTTAGATGCATTATATAGGATCTGAAGAGGTTGTCTGGTCTTTATATATTTCTCTTTTTTGTTCAGTTTCTCTTCTGGCTAGGCCGAACTCCAAACCTTGACCTTTAGCCTGAAACCTAAGCCGTAAACAGGAACAGATGCACACATAGTACAGGCATACGCACGCATACGCAGATATTTTATTTTTATATGTTGGCAAGACACATAAAAATGCATATTTCCTAACAAAAACAAAGCATATTTATTCGTTTCATCATACCCTATTCTGCTTGTTGAAATATCTGACTACCATGGCCGCTAAGTCGACCTTCGTCAATTCATATATTTATATGAAATTCCATTACAGGTTCTGTATACAAAAATATTTTCTGCTTTGAAAATGCTTCGAACTAATCTCATTAGAGAAGCTGGTGATGGGGTCATGGCACACCACATATTTCAGTAAGGTTCTTACTCTTTTTCCTCATCCCATAGAATAAATCTGTTCAATACTAGTTTGTATTCAGAGGAGAGAATGAAAAGTAATTTCGGAAATTTGCTACTAGTTCGGAGTTGGAATTTTTATCCCAGGGTGTCACTACGTGCCTCTATTTGTCCCTTTGACCTTAAAGATATTTCCTTATTAGTTGCCATTTTTCTCGAGTCAGGAATACCACGATTAAAAACATAAGCATCAGAATGCCTAGAACGAAGGATGAACTCCTTGAGATAAATGGCATGACCCAGTAAGTTTCAAGTTATATGGTTATCTGCTGCTACCCAAAAAACAATACACTGAACTTCTTTGGCTTAATGCAGAATTAAGGCGGCTAGATATGGAGATCGAATACTTGAAACAATTGAAGCTGCCATAAAGGAATACTTCAAAACAGAAAAAATAAGCAGCGGTAGCAATGACAGCAATGATATAAAGAGGAAAAGAGATGGTAACAGAGATCGGAAGGAAAATGTTGAAGATGACGACTTCAAAAGCACAGATAGATTGAAGAAAATGGCACTAAAGAAGCAGAGCAAAACTATTGAGGCCTATAGTTATGTGGAGCCAGATTATTCATAGATGATGAATTAGACTCATCTGGTTATGACTTTGAAGCTAATGTTCCGGATATGAAAGCCAATCAGAACGGTGGTGGAAGAGTGCTGCCACAGTGGTCAACACCGGGAAATGGGCCGACATCGGTAAAATTTTATTAGGGTCAATATGATCATACACAGCGATGTTTTCTTTTGGATTGAGTTGGGAAAATTGAGGGCAATGAGACTCCTCCGACGACCTTGCATTTCCGGCTGTTGGGACAAGGTTGTGTTCCCTCTAACAGATCATGTCTTATATGCAATAGTTCTGTAAATTGTAAATTTTGTTGTTGTATTTGTGTTTATTATCGGAAAGTTACAAGTTACAATGTTTGTTCAACCATATGAACTAGTATAATTTACAAATTATGAGAGTAGTGGAAGGTGGACGCCGCAGAAGGGTTCCCGCCATTGGTTCTCCGAAATGACGGCGGAGGTCGGAGGTGGGAGCTTCTGAGAACAAGCGTTGTATAAACGGCCTAAAATGATATCAGCTTATCTGATTAAAGAGACCATCTAATACATACCTTCAAGCTCTCTTCGTTTCATTTGGATCTTTTGTTCACGACTTTTGTAGAATGACATGCAAGCTCTCTACCATATTTAGCTTCTTGGACATTGATTTACTTGACGTTTGATTTGAAACGTTTAATCAACTTTTGGGTAGCCACAAGTGGAAAAAAAGGATCTGAGTTCGGAGATCGTAATCACATTTTTTAGTGCAAAAGGCAAAGGCATCAAGAACTCTTTACTTGTTACAAAGATATCCTAACGTTTAACCGCGTGAATCGAATATATAACTAGTTTTATCAATCAAACATTACAAAATAAGGCAATGCCTTCATAATTGACACGAGCACCCTGCCGTATTCTGTTAAACTAATGCAAATATATGATTTAACGAAGAAGAAAATAGTAGACACAAAAGAAGTGTTTCGTGATGTTCGAAGGAGAAGGCATAGACTTAGCTCCAACCTGTCAAGCCAAGTCTGTCAGCGAGATTGTACATAACTAGTTGATCCCAGACATGGCCGAAAAGGTGCTCCCCTCCAATAGCAAATGTAAGGGCCCATGATAAGAGAAGAGCGGAAAATACCGTGAAACCAACTGCTGATCTTAAAACATCTGCAATACAACAGCCAATAAACAGAAGCTCTATAGTTAATATATAAGTTCCATAAAGCCGAACAATTACATATACTTCACGACACTGATGTATTAGAAAGCTCATATTTTACCCGCAAACAACCCAGCACATCCATTTGGTGATGCACCACTTATATTTTATCTAAGAAAACAGCGAAAACACTTGTTTAAAAAAAAAAAAATGATGCGGTAGCAACAACCAAACACATCTATTTGAAAACATCATGTCAGTACCATATAGGTAGGATAGGAGAATCGGGGAGGTGAAATCATCAAGAGTATTTTCTTTTAAGTCCTATTAACATTGACTAATGGACAACTCTTCTGTGTCACTTTCTGGTCACTCCTAGGCTCCTACACAATTTGGAAGGCCAAAGCACCACCAAAGGTACGGGTTCTAACTTGGATAATTACTCATGTGAAGGTGAATACAGTTGAAACATTGTAGAGAAGGAAACCTTATTGGTGTCTCTCTCCTCAATGGTGTAATGTGCAAAAGTGATGCTGCATAACTTAACAGCTTACGACTCCATTGTCCGCTTGCATATTCGCTGTGGATAAGGCTATTTATGTTGACTGGATTGAATTGAGAAATCCCAAACTTTCTTCATTTGATAAACATAACATAAGCCACTCTCCAATGTAAACAACATTTACAAAATTGAAAGTTCGTTGTTCTGTCTAGTTCAATCAAATAATTATCTTGGGATAATAACCCCTGAACACAACCTCCCCGTTGATAATTAGTCACCTAAATGCTCTTCCTAGCAACTGTCTCATGAATGAAAAACACCAGATAATTATTCACCAAAATGCTCTTCTAGTTAGAAATTTCAAACTAGAACTGATTGTATGGTACTTTAGATGAAAACGTTAAACAAGGGGTTAAAATAACCACTTTAGAACAAAAAAACATAATTCAATAATAGCGTGCAAAACGACCTCGAGAAAATTAAAAGTGCGCAAACTAAGTATTTCTCAGCTCAATAATTAATACTTCACCTCCTAACATAAATCATAGAACCAGATAGTAAAAGAGAAGCCAGAAACAATCAATCTGAATCGGTTCCTCACATTCAACATTCTGCAGTTTCTTTCCAATGCAGGCGGCATTCACCAACTTCCCTTCTTTTGAAATACACAGGCCAGTAAAAACTCCTTTGGACATAGAGAATGCATAAGATTCACTATTTTCTGCTAGGAGATGTTTTAGAAAGTTTCGATTTCATTATGTTCGCTTATAAATGGGAGAAGCTTTGGACAAACAAGAAGGATTCAGTCGAACGACCGCACCACAAGGTATAGTGTTCGATTTAGGTTAGTTATTTGCAGAAGTTTCCTTCCTCCTAAAATTGTAGGGTTTTCCACCAAGTCAGTTTAGGGAATTTCAGGGTATCCAAAAATGAAAACCAAATGGAAGAAGCTTGAACAGCACCTAAGTGGATAAATGAGCGGGGTGCTGGCACAAAGTCTTTGGAAGTGCTGTTTGAAAGTAGAAGCGCTTTCAAATCACCGAAAGCGCTTATGACCATGTTTGGCATAAAAAAAAAATTAGAAGTGCTTTTCCACGAAGCACTTGCATTTTTATCAAAAATTACAATGTGCTTCCAAACTCTCCATACCGAATAGAAACCTAGAATTCCAGAAATGATCTCCAAAATAATAACTGGGTTTGCTTAATTTTCTTCAATCAACAACCAGAATACAATAAAGTAGAAGAATCAATTGGGAGAGAGAGAGAGGGGCATACAGTGGTAAATGCGAGGGAAGGAGCGGGAGTGGCGGAGGACTGGCCAAAAGTAGAAGCAGTTGAGGGCCCAAAGCCAAGGGAGCAGGGCGAAGCCAAACTTGTAGAATCTACGCGCGTAGCTCACTGACTCTTCCTCTGACAGCCCCAGGGGGCCGTCTATGGTGGGCCACGCCGGCGACGGAGACGAAATCGGAATCGGGTTTCTTCTCGGGCTAGGGTTTAGGTTTGGGATTTCCGAGTTACTCCGTGAAGCTTCCATCTACGACAATGCCTCCTACGCCCAACACTTTGAAGTTTGAAAACGATGTCGCGTTGCTGATTGTTGATCCTTCTGGTATTCGCTGGTGTTGGGGAAGAAAGGTAACCAAGATATGAAATGAACCGGTCCTGCAGGCAGCCTTGCTGTTGCTTTCCCCTTTCTTACATTTCAGGGAAGAATTGAAAAAATGGGTTTTTTTTTTTTTTTTTAATGTGTCTGGAACACGGAATAATATACTACGTGTTTATATATAAGTGGTAAGATTCTTGTATTAAAAAATTAATAACATAAAAAATAAAATTTTCACCATTTATATAATAATATGTGGTGTACTAATTATGTTATAAGCATAAGAAAAAATTGCTCATTTTTAGGACTTGTACGACACGGTTCACAGTCACGCGATCTTTCATGCTAACAATGCAAGGGTATATGTTAGGTTTTTTTTTTTTTTTTTTTCTCTTCCTCTTTCTTCTTCTTCTTACATATTCTTTTGCTATTGGCACATGACGTAATTAAAATAGTAAATATGTGGCACACAAGTTGCTCATTTTTTAGTGATGTATTTTTGCTCATCATCTTATTTTTTACTGTTCAATGAATTTAAATTTTGATATTTATATCTATTATTGTATTAAAATCATCTAATAAAGATAAATAGTTTAGTAAATATCACAATCATTTGAAAATGGTAAACAAAAAACACGTTGACAACTTTTCATATTGTTAAGAACGTTTATGTATGATAGGGACAAAAAATCGAAAATAGAGACTTTTTTGGGGGGTTTGAAGTAAAAATAAAGGGTAATGTTGATGAAATTAAATTTGTAGATAAAATTTTACAAAATAAATGATATGAAAGTTGATGATTGAATTATTATTTAACCGTTAATTAACATGTTCATTCTTATTGATGATACATTATTTAATTTTCAAATTTTATCTATAAATTTAGTTTCCCTAACATTACCAAAAATAAATAATCTTAATAATAAAGACAGTGTCCTTATAACAATAAATTATACGTCCTTAACGATAAAAAAAAGTTGTCTAAAGAATTTTTGAATAAAAAAATTCAAAAATAAGTTTTCTGAAGGGCTTTTTACTAATTTTCTAATTTTTATACATACATGATTACATAAACAAGTGGAAGGGTTTTACAATTGGGCATAAAATAAACAAGTCACTCTTCCTTTACAAAATGTATGGAGTAATAAAAATCCCTAGATTTTCCAACCATTGCCGGCCGCTGCATTGCGCGAAATCCATTAGCATCCCTACTTCTGTTCAGAAGTACCTCCTTCAAACTTGCGCAACGTGGACGTGCGCGCAAGGTTGGGAATTTGGTCCATGCAGAGAGTCCGACTGCAATGCCAGAACCGGTAGTCACTGGTGTGATAGAAGAAGCCAGAAGGTTCATTTGATGCCGGCTATCTTCTCACTATTAGGGCTGGAGACACTAACATTGAAAAGGTTCATTTGAACCTTCACGTCACATCCGTCCCTTGATCTGCCCGTAAATCCTTGGAGAAGGCTACCGAAGCCATGCACCCAAAATCCCAGCGAGATTTTGGGAGAGAGACTTTTCCATCCGAATCGAAGCTCGCAGCTATTCGAAAGGCAGCACAAAGACAAGGCTTCCATTTCATTTCTCGGCCTTAAATCGAGGATGCCATATCCGACCGATAAGACAATGCTTCGATTCATAAGTTCTATGCTCCCTCCGGTTCAGAATCGGCATGAACCTGGTTGATCAAAAGAAACGAAAAAGAACTAAATCCATAAATTAACAACAGCCCTAATCACAACCAACTGATTAGCCTCTCTCGACCTCTCATATGATGATATCAATCTGTAAAAAATATCAAACATCTAATAAAAACACAAAGGAGATGGAATCTCAAAAAATACATATGCAACGATTCGATCCAGAACAAATACCACTATTCAGTTATATATTTGTAAAAATTCTAACAATGATCCGATGATTCAGATTCAGAGACCAGAACACTAAACCAACGGAAATGAATCCAACCCTAAATTTAGGAAAATTACCTCTGGCGAATAACTCTGGTAAATCATGGATTCGATCGATTGTTGACAGGACAGCCATCACCAGGCTCTCGTCATAGTCAGGATCATCATCGTCGAAGTCGCCATCTCCCCTTTGGGCTTCGGCTGCCATTTCAGACAACTCTCCACCAAACACGCCGCAACAGCTATTTATCTCGTGTTTGTTTGTTTTTCCACACACATGACACAGACAGCAGCGTCTTCTGTATTTATAGGGATAATAGATGATTCCAGAAGGACGTTAGGGTTATAGGTGGTAGGGATTTTGATCTTATCGAGTCTCACTAGTGTGTGCGTTTCTCTCTTCTCTCTTCTTTTTTTTTTTTATCATTTTTTTTTTGTTAATTAGTTACATATTGTTTTTGTTATTTTTTTCAATAGCGCGTTAATACATAAAAATACCAAGTTGCGGTTTTTTTTCCTTCTCTATGGTACAAAAATCAATGACTTTATTAGGGATGATTAGGATAATTGAATAACTACACTTGTTTCTGTTATTCTCTCTAATAGAGAAAATCCCGAAAAGTTCAATGAAACTAACTTCAAGAGAGAACGACAGAGAACCACTGGGTAACTTTTGCTCACTCGCTAGCCAACTCCATTTTGAGATTATTGCTAGAGAACCACTGGGTTGCCTTCCTATTGGCTTAGCTTGTAGGTTATTTGGATATTGATTAGAGGATTGATGGATTGGTTGTTTTTCATAAACAAAAACGTAACTTACTATGCATATACTTCCTTTAGTAACTTGTTAAAAAGACGTGTTCGTATGCACGTACTTTCTTTTTTAACTTGTTAAAAAGACGTACCTATCCATGCATATCTCACCGTTGACTTTTTCTTTGTTAACTTACGAAAAGAACGTATCAATCAATTCACGTAATCTCACCATTATTTTTCTTTTATGAATTTAGTTAAAGAATGAGAGTGTATTCTTGCACATAGTCGCACCTTTTTTTTTTTTCATTTATATCATTTAAATTGTGTATAATGCAAGTAGTGGATTCACTTTGGTCGATAAGACATTTGTGATGATAGTGCTTATAGATGCATAAAGTTGTTGGAGTGAATGCACCAGTCATATTAAAACATTTTAACAGCACCAAAAAACCAATTTAAAATAAATGTTACATTTATACTAAGGTGAGGAAGAGTTTCTAAACCAGGAACTAGTGGTTGAAGAAGAATGCCCAAACACCAGGTGGAATGAAGGAATTGAAGACCATAAAGGAACATATACAAGTCATGAATTCTTACAGTTTAGACTTCCTTTTACAAAATGTACGGATAATCAACAAACTCTACAAATCTAGACTAGCTCTGACTCATCCCTTTACAAAATGTGAGGTAGGATCAAATTGTTGGGGTTTAAAAAGAGTTCACTACTTTGGAGATGTTTGTTTCACAAAGAAGAATGTAATGTAGTGGAATTGATAGGCAAGAGAAAGAAAGAATACTCGAAGTTTTACACAAAATTTTTATTCACTCACAAACTTAGTACAAGAGGAAACACTCAAACACTCTTATAAGCTTTGTTGCTTTTTCTCACTTCTCACTTGGCACTCTCACTTCTCACTACTTGCTCTCTTGGTTGTTAAATCACATAGCTTAGCACCTCACATATTTATAGGCAAGGTTTTCCAACTTTGGCATTGCTAGAACTTTCTAGCTAATGCTTAACAACCACACATTTTTAAAGATTCTAGATCTTTCTAAAAAAAACCTTAGATATTTATGTAAGCATTCCATCAACTTGAACTTTGCTAGAACTCTCTAGCATGTGCATGGATCTTTTTTTATGTATAGGCCGGATCAATTGTCTTGGACCAAGACAAGATTACAATTCAACACAAATTAGTATCATATATTTTCTACATCTTGCTTTACAAAAAATATAACAACATCTAATCTACATATATATTTCAAATCCAGATGACGATCTTCCTTCGTATTCAATCATCAATCTCACTGGTACAGAAACGCCACCACACCAGGTTGGGTATGCATGCTACCGAAGGTGGTCAGTTTATGCTCCTGTATATATGTATATAGCAAAAGAAATTCCAAGTCATGCAACAAAAACTAGAAAACGAAAAAAAGTTTAGACATCAACAATCACATAGTACATTTCTTGGTCTCAGGATGACATATCCGACTGAGATGATGATGCCTCGGTTTATATCTTCTGCGTACCCCTTCAGAATCGGCATAAACCTGGTTTCAACAAAAGAGAATAAATATACATTGATTTGATCCATAACAAAATACCAGTTTTCAGTTATATTTTTGTAAAAATGTTAATCAATTAGAGATATGATCCGATGATTCAGATCCAGCGACCAAAACATCAGAAACAACAATAAATTAATGGAAATGAATGAAACCCTAGAACGATTAAGGGATGTTAGGTTAGGAAAATCACCTCTGGCAAATAGCCCTGGTAAATCATGGATGCGATCGGTTTGAGAATCATCATCAGGCTCTCTACACGATCAGGATCATCATCTTCATCCTCACCTTGGGCTTTGGCAGCCATGGCTGATCTCCAACCCATCAGAGATATTCTCTACCCTAAGACGCCGTGTGTTGTAAGAGCTATATCGTATAACTCGTGTTTGTTTGTCCACACACTGCTTCTTCACTCAATTTATAGGGGCAGTAGATGATTCCAGAAGGACACTATAGGGTTGGTAGGAATTTTGATATTATCTTACTCCAGATATTGCTCCACTCTTTATCCGACGAGTGTGAGCGTCTAGTTGTTCTAGTTTTCATTTTTATTTATTGTTGATTACATTTTTTTTATGATTTCAAAACCTAAAAATACGAAGGTAAAACAAAACAATGTGTTTTAAAAGAAGAAAATGTGTACTTGGATTGTTGTGTTAAATTATAATAAATAAAAAAAACCGACAACAAAGGGAAAAAAAAAAAGAAAAAGGGATATCCAGATCATTAATGTAAATGAGACTCTCTACACATTCTTATGGACATATTTACGAATCTAGGTTTTTTTAGTAAAGTAAAAGAAAAAGAAAAAGTTAACGGTGAGATTACGTGCATGGATATATAGATTTTTTTAGTAACTGAAAAAGAAATAGTTAACAGTAGTATTACATTGACAGAAATGTGTGTTCTATCAAATTAATGAATGGACTACGTGCATGATTAGTTATGTTTTTCTTTATTAAAACCCCATTAAAAGTCAAAACTTTTTTTCAAATAAAAATATCAGAGATGTACATAATAACAATCATTTGGATATTGATGGATTAGTTGTTTTTCATAAACAAAAATGGAACTTACCATGCAAATACTTCTTTCATTAACTTATTAACATGACGCATATATTCATGCACGTAATCGATCTCACCATTAACTTTTCCCCTTTGTTAACTTACGAAAAGAATGTCCATATCCATGCACGTACGTAATCTCGCTCTTAAATTTTTCTTGATAAACTTACTTAAAGAATGTGCACATTTATGCATGTAGCCAAACTCATTTCTTTTTCATTTGTATCATTTAAATTTTGGATAATGTAAGTGGTGGATTTGCTCTATAATAGATAGAGTATTCATTTTTAACTCACTGCGTTCTAGGTATAAACTCTCTTGCTCCTTCTAATTGAGATGAATTTAGTATAAATTAGCTTTCATGAAATCTCACAATGCCAAATGAGGTCTCTGATAGCTCAAGACCTTTATTTCAGTTAAGTCATTTTGCTAGGATATGTATTTACCATTAACGATGGATAGTGCTTATAGATGCATAAAATTGTTGGAGTGAATAATTCACCACCACCATCATATTAAAACATTTTAACAAAGGGAAAAGGCTAATCTGCAACATAAATATATGATATTTATACTAAGAGGAGAAGAAGTTTTGAATCAGGAACGTAGTGGGTTGAACAAGAATACCCCAAACACTTCACTTTGGTTATAGTTGGAGGATTTTACATAAATAATTCAGAAGGTATTACAATTTATGTCTAATTGGACGAAATGCATAAAGGAATTGAAGGTCATAAATAAACATACAGAAGTCTTGAATTCTTATGGTATGGACTTCCTTTTACAAAATGTGTGAAGAATCAACAACTCTACATATCTAGACTACAGCTATGGCTCATCCCTTTACAAATTGTGAGGTAGGATCAAATTAGTGTCATATATATATTCTCTACATCCTGCTTTACAAGAACATCTAAGCAACATATACATTTCAAATCCACATAGCAAAAGAAATTCCAAGTCATGCAAAAGAAAATTGAAAAGGAATAAAAACAAAGACATTAAGAATCACATCGTACATTTCCCAGGACTCTCTGCAAAGGCAGCACATCTTTTTGCCTTAAATCTGGATGACATAGCCAACTGAGACGACGATGCCTCCTCAGTTTATATTTTCTGCGTTCCCCTTCAGATCGGCATGAACCTGGTTTAATCAAAAGAAAATAAATATGCATATGCATCGATTCGATCCAGAACAAAATACCAGTTTTCAGTAATATATTTTCGTAACATTGTTAATTAGCTACATGTTCTAAATAATGACCAAAAGATCGGAAACAACATATTAATTCCGGGCTGTTAGGTTAGGAAAATCACCTCTGGAAAATACCTATGGTAAATCATTGATGCAATCGAGTTGAGAACCATCACCAGGTTCTCTCTTCATCATCAGGATCCTCGTCTTCATCGTCGCCTTGGGCTTCGGCAGCCATGGCTGATCTCCTACTCTCAATCGAAACACGCCGTATATTTTGTAAGAGCTATACGCTAGAATAGGGGTGGGAAATTTTGCCATAATTAAACCGATTTATCGACCGAACTATATCGGTCGGTTCATAATGGTATGCTATAGGTTTGGCATTTTTCATAATTTATACTGAACCGACAATTAATGGTGTGATTTTGTTAGATATATATATATATATATATATATTATATTTTTTTTTTATTTTTTTGTAATTTTTCTATTTAGATATTTTAGGTACTTTTGACATGCTTGACATGTGAAGAACTAGAAAAATGTAAGTATTGTTATATTTTTTCTGATTCTAATTATAGTACTTCAATCCAATGTTTATTGATATTTTTAATTTATTACTCAATATTACTTCTTATTCTAATCATACATTTTTTTATGTAACATTTGAATTGAATGAATTGAAACATGGAAGATTTCACATGCATTGGTTACTGCTACTTCAGTGATGTTGCATTATCAAAACAACAAGTTATTTGTTTTGGGATTATAATAAAAGGATCTTATAATCAGAACCATACTTTTGAGTTTTGAGTTTTTTGTTTATGCATTAGTTGCTCCAATTGAATTTAGACAATTATATTAGTTAGACTTTTGAGTTTGTGAACTTATAACTATTTGGATTATGTTTGTTGAAATTGTTGTTGGCTTAGTAAGTTTTGATTTGAATTTCATTTTAATTTGTTAAGTCATGATTATGTTGGCTTACAATTAAAAAATTGCAGCAACAACTTCTTTTTCTCTTTTATAATTTGTTGTTTACAGGTCGGTGCATGGTCTTGTTTTTGTACCTTATTTGCAAACCATCAATTGTGCCATTTACCTACCGAACCAGCCAATAATTCTAGCTGAACCGATTTTTGACAACCGTAAGAAGACGGCTGGCTAATGGTAACTGATTTTTAGTACTTATGTATATGTGGCTGGCAAATGCACAAGAAATTTGACACAGTTTACCAACCGAACCCAACCTACTGCTAGAACTCATGTTTGTTTGTCCACACACACTGAGCCTTTATTCAATTTACAGGGGCATTGTTGGTAGGAAATTTGATTCCTATCTCGCTCTAGATCTCGCTCCACTTTTTGTCCAACGAGTGTGAGGGTCTAGTTGTTCTTTCTACTTTTCATTTTTATTTATTTATTGTTGATTATTCGGTCATGACACTCTTCTTTATCACACTGCACAAATGAACGTCCCGTGATAGAACCACGATGGCTATATTCGCCATGGTGCTCAGATTGCATAAACGAGTTTACAAGTTCAGCTTCGGCGTTGAACAATTCTGCATCCTCAATCTCAATCCTTGCTTGGTTTTGTGCCATCTGCATTGCCATGCTACACTTTCTTCTATCACCCATTGAAAGATTGGTGAATATAGAGGATGATTAAAGGTTGAAAGGTTGTGTGATCAACTAATATTAGACATATGTTTATATAGAGGATGATTGATGAAAGTTGAACGGTTGATGAAAGTTGAAAGTTTGGTGTTGAACGGTTGATGAATTGAAAGTTAGCCCAGGGTTGAAAGATTGGTGACAGTTAAAGGCTTGCTTTGTAGAAAATTTAGTGATTTTTCAATATTTATCGGAATTTAAATATTTTTAGATTAAAATGTTTATAAAATTAATTTATGATATTCTACATATTTAAAAAAAAATTTAATTTAAGAAAAAAATAACCTAAATTCATTCTTTAATAATCTCGAACTAAAATTTTAAGTCAAAACAGTTAAAACATAAAAGTTATTTTTAAGTTAAAAACTAAATTTTTCGAACTAGAAAATTTAACTTTTAGCTCAATTATTGAAGTTAATCTAAACATGCTACGAGGCATGAAGAGCACGTTGGCTCGGAAGAAGTGTCTACTCTGCCGGGTGCGATTGACAAGGTGACGTCCTCTCTTGCATTTAATACTTACCCACGTGAGGGTTAAGTACTGGCAAAACTTTAAGTCCTTGTAGTACACATGGCCTCCCTTTGAAGCCAGTCAAATTTGGTTATAACATATGTAATTCAGTAAACATGCCATAAACTACTTGGAAAATGGCAAAACACATGGTCAACTAAAGCTACTTTATATTTTAGATGAAAATAATAAATAAGAAAATGATTGTGACAAGATTAAATTTAAAAAAATCCAAGAATTCGAATCTAATCTAAATAAATCCTAACGTAATTAAACTTGAATCCAAATAAACTCGAATAAAACCCAATCTGAACTCAAACCTAAATCGTAAAAGTTAAGTTAAGATTGAGTTGATTTTCTAACCGTTCCCAACCCGTCAGAGTTGCACCTAGTGGCAATGGGTTTCGTTCAGTGATGCTTGATATGGAGAGTTTTTGTGAGACGGTGAGTCTAAGACTAAGACTGTAAGCTGAAGCAAGGCAATGTCTGAAGTGGGAGATCCAGCCATTAAGCTCTTCGGGAGGATTATTCCGTTCCCACAGCTTCAGATTCAAGATTTGTCCGCCGACAAAGAGTGTTTGGTTGCAGATACGGTACCAATCCAATCCACTCTCCAAGTCTCTCTGCTCTTTTCCTTTCTAACTGCTCCATGAAACTCTTTCAATTTTGTAGAAATTCAAATTGAACTAATTGCTTCGTTTATCTTTTGAATTTGAGTAAGCTGTGTTCTTCCACTTGATATTTGTAATTGAAGTGTTAAATCAATGTTTCGAAATCTTACTGGATTTAGTTTACAAACAGATGGGGCAGTTTAATCTTATGCAGCTTCTCACTTATATGTATAATGTATAACAACTGAGAGGAGATTGGATGAGTTCCGAAGTTCGAATCCCCATCCCCGCGGAGAAAAACGAATTATAAAGCTCAACAGAAGATCTTGAAGCCACATTTTGTTATCGTTTGTCATTCGTTCGTTACCTATTTTCGAAATCGTAATTTGACAATGTGTGGATGATGTGAGGGACTTTATGTAGTTTCTAACTTGGTATAGTTGTGGCTGCACCTTCGTTTTCTTCCTATTGGCAGTTCATTTGTTTTTAGCTTTTTATTTGGATTGATAAAAATTGAACTTATAGCTCACCTTTGATGCCAAATTCCCTGTTCTACATGCTGTGAATTAATTACAAGCTACTGCTGCTGCTGCAATTTGAGTGTCGTAACTCCTAAGCAATCGAAACTTTGAATTTTCAGGGTGAGTGTAGAGAAATGGAGGACCATTCTGTAGAAAAATCCTGCAAGCAAGATACATCTTCGGAACTAGATAATAGCAGAGAAAACAATCGCCAAGGTCTAATCCAGGAGAATGAGGGTGAAGTTAAATGTGATCAAGGAGAAGACCAATGCGTGGATAGTGATACGAGTGGCATAGAAAAGTCTCTCAGAAAGCCAGACAAGGTTCTTCCTTGCCCTCGCTGCAACAGCTTAGAAACAAAGTTTTGCTATTTCAATAATTACAGTGTTTACCAACCGAGACACTTTTGCAAGAGCTGCCAAAGATATTGGACTGCCGGGGGAACCATAAGAAATGTTCCTCTAGGTACTAGGCGGCGCAAGAATAAGCATTCATCTTCGCAGTATCATCAGGTAGTGGGACAACCGAATGCAGTACCAGTCACCCAGGGAGGCACCCTTAACATTGTTGGCCAACAGCATCTATCACCTTGTGGACTTCCAGCCTCTCCAAATCCTGCCAATGGGATAAAGGAAGGCTTAAGTTCTGTCTCAGATGCGCTTTTAGTTGAATCTACAGAGACTGCCTCGAACCAGAAACACCAGATGAGAAATTCTGAGACTGGCTCTGCAGCTGACGGCGATGATGGTTCCTTATCAGCCACTGCTTCACAGCACATTGCGTGTATGAAGCAGGATGGTCTGCCAGGATATGACAATGATTCTAATCATATGCATACTATGCAATATTTCCCTGCTCCTCAATGGGACAAGACTCCGAGTTGGGGCATAATGATGTTTGGATCTGAAGGCAGTAATCCTAATCCTTCTCATATAGGTCATCTGCCTATGGTTACAGTTCCTGGTTTTTGTACTCCCACTTTCGCTTTCCCATTTGTGCCTTCCTTGCACTGGGGTTACATGCCAAGCTGGGACTCCAGAAAATTGAATTCTCAGATGGTTGGATCTGCTGGCAGCTTGTCACTTTCGTCTTTCTCTGGCAACAGTGGATGTTCGGGCAATAGCTCACCAACCTTGGGAAAATATGAAAGAGATGCAAATGTACATGAAGATGTAATAACAAAACAGTGCCTTTGGGTACCCAAGACATTGAGAATTGATGACCCAGAAGAGGCTGCAAAGAGTTCTATATGGTCTACCTTGCGTATCAAACAGGATAAGAATGAACTTGTAGTTAGAGGTGGTATTTTTAAAGCTTTCAGAAAGAAATCGGATAATAAATCCCAAACATTAGATGCTGATCGGGTTTTACAGGCAAATCCAGCAGCTCTCTCTCGCTCTCAATCCTTCCAGGAGACCGCATAAAGGCTCTCTTCAGTTCAACATGCAGAGTTTATGCATGAGGTTTGTCTACTAAAATCCTAATCCTTTTTGTTCGGTAAATTAGATTAGGGAGGGAATGCGTATTCATCCAAGTTTATTTTGTTTCGACAAGACCGTATAAAGGCTCTCATTCAGCTCGACATACACAGTTTAGAATGATATTCCAGTCTTTGTTATTCAGTGTAGTAGGGAGGGAGGGAGGGAATGTGTATCATGAGTAGATTATATAAGCTTTGTTTGAGAAGGAATAAGGCAGAAGCTAGTTGAGAGAATTTCCGGCATTTTTGTATAACATTTGATGCTGAGATAGGTGCCAAATTCAGTTTGAGTTACACAAACCTTGAATTCTTAACATTCGATTTATAAAACTTAGTATCTGCATCTCAATTTGACCCGTGACCTCGCTGACAAATGAAACAAAATGATTCCACGGTGGGAGGACACAGGAGTGAGAGTTGGTCCTCACTCCTCACCTGGTAGAAACAGTTGAGATCAGCATACCAACTCTTAATTTGTTTATTTTTCTTTGTTAAGAAATTTTGTATGTTGATTTCTCTCACATTTTATGTATTTTTCTGAGCACCATTAGCATGTATTCATATTGCAACTCGACATCAATGCTTCCCCTTGGTGCTGCTCCGTCGCACCAGTAACGGTAAGATTCTGCAGAAAATTCAGAACACAACAGTACAACCTTCCTTCAATCTGATTAGCATTTCTTCCTCTTTTTTCCTTTGACATGGTTCAAAATCAAGCATTCAAAGCATTCATGATCTGTTAAAATAAATAAAAGGGGCCGCTGTCGATGGGATCTCAGAGAAAGAGAAGAAATTACTTCACTCCTACTACCGGTGTTGGAGTCTTGAAAAAGGGATATACGTATATATAAACGTTTGATTTATTCAATCCAGTAGCCAATAGATAAAGGAGGGTGTATAAGAAGCTAAAAGGGATGTATGAAATTCACCTCCCTGAAAAAAATCTCGACGGTACAAAGGGGAGTTTTATAAAATGTTACACCAAATCAGGAGGGCATAGTAACATAATACTAGAAATAAAATAAAAAATTAAGGCCATATAGCACTTATACATTTTCCATCTGGTATGGTACGTTACATAATACATAGATTGTTCCCTAACTGATGGAAATATAGGAGGAGGAAGGTGAAAGTCCGACTAGTTGGAGTTAGGGTGATGAAACGGGTGAGCCTTGACTACTACTCCGACAGTCTTCTCTTGCTGATTCCTGAACCTGCGCTGCAAACTGCAAATTCCAAAGAATGTCTTCAACTGAAGGCCTATCAGCTGCATCATTCGTAAGACACCTCACGCATATCTCCATCATTGTCTTCAGTGATTTGTCCGAGCATTCCTTGTGCACTGCTGCATCCACAATGCTCCTCCGAGCTGTGTCATCAATTGTCAAACTTACTCGTACCTGCGTAAGAAGCAACCGAAAGCAAATTGCTGGTTTAGCTGGAGAATGCAATGTGTCACTTGTGTCGGCAATGAAATTAACTGGAAAACGTTCGAGAGTGAAAGGAAAGAACAGTTTGATTTAAAAGAAAACACTCACAAGGTCTTTCAAAACACCAACTTCATTTGGGAACATGATAGGTCTCCCCAGAATCATTTCTAGCAAGATTACTCCAATGTCATAAACGTCGTTCTTACACTCATGGTTAACCCTGCAAATGACAGTAATTAACAAAATCATCCGTATGTGTGTGATTGTGTGAAAGGGTAACCGGGTCAGGCAATGCTGATGAAATACACAAAATAAAAAAGCTTCTAAGGATTTCATGAGAGAGAGAGAGAGAGAGACTGAAACAATTCATTAGAAAAGGCGGCCATATTAATGCATTTCAGTGAAGCTAGAGGGAGATTCAACGACGAGGAACTTCGTTTAGAATGGTGTCATCGTTACTAATGATGATCAGCAACCGAACCAGACAGGCACTTATATGATGATTAACAGGAAGGCCAAGCTCGTACGCAGTTTAAAGTTGAAAGGGCATTCATTTGGAACAGAGAGAGTGCAGCTAATATTGATTTCTGTATAATTTTGGTAAGTAGACATGCTATTACCTAGTATGAATGCTTCCTTTGGTGCAGGAGAAGAAACTGCAGTCCCCACCTGACGGATTAAAAAGCAAACGTTAACTCGGAGGACAATGTCGAGGGGGATTTTAACTCGCCAAAGCTGTAATTATAGTAGGCCTTACCGTTCCCCTGTTGTTTTCAGCTGAAAGAGGTAGGTTATAACTGCTTATTTTCACATGAAGATCGTGATCCAATAAGACATTTGTTATCTTGAGATTATTTGATTTTAAACCAGGAACAATCCCTGTATGCAGAAACTGAACACCCTTTGCAACTCCAATTGCAGCTACTATTCTCTGCGCCCAAGTAAATTTTCGTTCTGGAGGTCCTTCTGCCAAACAAGCGTTACATGTGAGTATCCAATTTCTCCAAATGTAAAGATGTTACGAAGAGAAGTAATTGAAGAAGACGAAGAATAAGTGAAGCGTAATGGATGACTCTCCATTGCCACACATATGCGTGCAATGTTGAGCAATTTAATAGGTTTCACCTAGAAACCTTCTGCTAAAAGATATGAAAGATAATGATAACATATCGTTCGGCATTTCATGCATTTGATATTACAGAGTACTTCAATCTTTCTTTTTCTTGGTTTCACAAGAATTATGTAGCGTACGGGATATCATCTGATTCTGAAAGAACTTTCTACGAATAGAAGAAGAATGATTCAGAGTAACGCACGTTCTTTATACCTTCATGGAAAATGCTATTAACTGAAAATGCAACCATTAATCCTGGTTAGCAGGATAAGTACATGAAAAGTAACTTTACCAGAGATGAAGCCTCTTAGCGTTCCATTTGGAACAAACTCGAATACAAGAAATATTCTACTGACGCCCGAATCATCAGGATTGTACTCCAAGCAATGTCCAAGAGCGCTAACCAAATGGCTATGTCTCAGTTTCGAAACCAGCTCAAGGAGGTGTGTATAGACGTGTGTAGCCTGCCTCTTTCTCATCTTCAAGCCTTTGATAGCAACAAGTGTTCCGTCGGGGAGCTTCCCTCTATACATCTGGCGCTATTGTTACCGAAAAACACAAATTTTAGAGTGAGAAATTTGCATTTAACTAGATCATAAAGACTAAGAAATACTCATATCATTATCGACAGGACAATTAATTAACTACAAGAAAGCGATTGTACAATTCGAAGGTTTATGTATTAGTGCATTTCAATCGTAGACTTCCAATGAACTACTGCAAATTACAAATTGAGAGAACATTTTATCGATGTCACGAAGTTATGTTGAATACCTGCCCATGTGCACCTTCGCCAAGTAATGTTGAATCATCAAAGTCGTTGGTAGCTTCCTTGAGCTCCTCCAAAGCAAACGTTCGATAAGCAGGAAGGCTAGCTCCCAGCTTCATTGTTTCCGATATATATTCTGCAAATAAAGGATTCTCAATTTCTCATACCGACAACTAAAGGGACAGAAATTTCGAACTTACTTGCATCCGAGAGTAGCTTGGCTGTGTTGACTGTTGAAGCTGAATCTCTAATCAACCTTGTTCGGGGACTTTTAACAGGCTGTTCGCCGTGCAATAACCTCTTAACAGCCATGAAAGCCAGAAGAACAACTGCAGCAGCACCCACAATTCCTCCCACGGCACTTGATGCAACGATTTGTTTATTATCATGACGCCTCTTGATTTTTCGGTCACCAGAAGGCGGTAACTCCACAGCCAGAGCTTCATTGTGGCACAAGTTAGAACGCTGCTGCTGATCTACATTCGTCAAACAATTCCCGGAATACAGAACAACAGCCCTGTTGTTCTTCGAACCCCGGTTTTTGAGGCAAGTGGGCAAGTTCCCTCCCAAAAGATTTGATGACAAATTCACAAAAGCAAGCTCAGCATTGCAAGATATGTTCTTGGAAAGCACGCCGGTGAATTTATTTCCGGCGATGTCAAGATAATTGATGGATGGCAGCGACAGCCACGACGGCGAAAAAGGCCCCACGAATTCATTGAGTGAAATGTCAAGCTTCTGGAGTTGAAAACCGCCTTGGAATCCGGTTTGGATTCCGACGCGAAACGTGTTGTTTCGGAGCACGAGGGTTACCAGCTTGTTGTTGGAAGGCAAGCTTGGAAAATGAGGCCCAAAAGAGTTGGCTTCCAAATCAAGAAGTTGCATGTTTGTGAGGGCTGTGAGGTCGGGAACTTCGCCGGACAGGAAGTTGTGGGAGAGAGAGAGGACTCTGAGGGTTTGCAGAGAGGCCAGAGAACTCGGGAGAGGGCCGTTGAGGAGGTTGTGGTTCAAACTGAGAACGGCCAACGACGGAAGCGAACCCAACGACGCCGGGAGTCGGCCGGTGAAGTTGTTGCGATCGAGGATGAGAGTCTGGAGGTTGACGAGCGACGAAATGTGGGGAGGAATGGCGCCGCTGAGGTAGTTGGAGTTGAGGTTGAGAATCTCGAGGGAAGATAAACGGGCGATGGATGGAGGGAGTGGCCCCCAGAGTTGGAGTGAAACGAGAGAGAGGACTTTGAGGGTTGGGAAGGCGGCGGCGAGAGCGGAGAACAGAGAGTTGGTTGAGAAGTCCAGCGGCAGCGGAGGGAAGGCGGCTCCGCCAGAAATGTGGAGCTGGGTGACGTTGCCTTGGTAGCAATAGAGAGTGAGGGAAGGAGTTGGTTCAATGCTGCACAGAGAGTGTGTGTCAGTGGAATTGAATCGGGCTAGAGGTGGTGGGTGGTTGAGCAGCTGCTGGATTTTCAGAAGGCTCTCGGACTCTGACTGAGTAGCAGCTGAGTGGTGGACGGAGAGGAGGGAAAATGTCAACAGAAGAAGAAGAAGAAGAAGAAGATGTGAGTTCGCCATTGTTACAGTTTACAACAACTGAGCGGTTGAGTGAGTTGCAGAAACCCAAAAGGCTCCACTTCTACAAAATCTTCCTTCTTCAACTATTCAAACTTGAGTACAGAGGCGAGAACGTTTGCATGTACTTGAAACCTCCGCTTGAACCAATTTACCTAAATCTTGTTTTCTAAGCAATTAATCAAAGCCCTGCATGGAATCTTCATCATGCTACCTAGGAGGAGATCAATAATAATAATTTGTCATTTAATATTATGCTTTAATGATATTCATTTTTACTTATTAGTAAGAGACATTAAGTTCGATTCTCGTCAAATACGAATTTGAACCATATAATATCGTTTGTTCAAAAATAATAAATAATAATTTTGAAAAACTTGACAGTAGCAATTTTTTTTTTCGACAATATTGTATTGAGTGATACGAAAATAATTAATTAAAATTTTGTAGTTGAAAAAATTAAATCTAACAACTAAAAAACTATTAAAATTACAAAGAGTAATCGTAAAATTTGTAATGGTGCATGGAAGTTGTGAAACTTTTTTTAAACATCACCTATTTCATTAAAAGAAACTAATAAGGAAAGTAGCGGACTATGACTTCAATAATACTTAACGCTCAATATTACATATGTTTTAACCGTCAAGTTTAATTTTATAAATATTAAGTATTTTTATTTTTAAACTTAGATCATTTATTTTTCGTATTCTGGATACCAATAATAAAAGTTGTGACCCACGAGGCAAGAGCCACAGCAAAAGAGATTATTGTGTTCCAAAAAACAAAAAAAAAAGCAAAAGAGATTGTACGAAACATATAAATCATGTGTGTAAGCGTGTACACAAATAAATCCTGTGTGTAAGTGTGTAACTGTCAGATCTGCATTTGTCTTTTTAGGATTTAGATCATCTCCGAATCTTCTTGTTAGGGATCCTGATAATCAATACATAGTAACCATTTATCAAAGATGGTGCGGTTGTAATTGAATACTTTTTTATATTTTTTAAAAAGTAAAACAATTTTGTTTTGCATGAAAAATATATAAAAATAAATAAAAAATTATAACCGCATCATCTTTGATGAACGATTTATTATGCATTAATCTCCTAGAATCTCCAATGAGAGGATCCGAAGACTATCTAACTCCATCTTTTTACATCACAAACTGACACATCATTCCATTACCAAAAGGATACTTTGGACTGTTGTGGTTGAGTATTTTATCTTCTTATCTTTACAATTTTACTACAGTCGTATGTAAAATTGAGTGATAAGAAAATATTTGCTAAAATTAAACTTGAGATGTAGCATTACAGCAAAGACCCTTTTTCTTTCATCATTAAATTTCAATTTTCGCACAAACTAAACAAAACAAAAACTAGAGAGAAAAATTAGGTTTCACTTAATTGTCCCATTTTTTTCTTTAATAGTTTAGGAATACTAAATAGTTCAAAAAATCAACGACGAAAATTGAATCTAAAAAATCAAACGATGAAAATTGTTTTAAATTCATATTACTTGGTGGACTCAACTACCAAAGACATCCACATATTTGTCATCTCTACTGAGAGAGATGTTCGAAATAACTTGTTAAGCAATGAATGAAAGAGATGTCCACTTTTCTTTTTTTTTTTATATTATTAATTTCACATAGGATGCACTTTTTGAAGTACTATTTGTTGTGGGATGAACACCGTTTGAGGATCGCGCAGAAAGTGACACATGTGCATTGCAGTGGGCTGTCAACTTCTGACTTCTATGTCTCTGTCGTTCACGGAATTCTCATTCTGCTCTCCTGCAGTAGTAAACAGAAAATACACCGTTTATCAACTCTAAAACATCACAAATGAAAGAAAAAAGATAAATGGAGAAAAAGATAAGCAAAACGAGAAAAGATGTTATAATTTTATCTTGGAGAATAAACCTTTTTTTTATATACTACATAAAAACCACATATGCTACTTAGTAGTACGGTTTAGTGATATTTCTTTTTACTTGTAAATAAGAAGTCTTATGTTCGATTCTCGTCAAGGACGAATTTGAACTACATTATTGCTAGCATGATGTGAGGCTTAACCCACACTCTCCTTCCACTCTTCCACCCCCTTAGTGTAGGTATCTGTAAATTTAAAATTGGTGTAGCAGTTTTTGTTTGAATTTAAGCCTCATAATGGATTAACGATAATGTGATTCAAATTCGTTTTTAGCGAAAATTAAATTTAAAACATCTTACTTACAGGTGAAAATGAATCTCATAATCGAATGTGAGATGTAACTAATTTAATCTCCCTAACTATAATAAAACAGAAAAAGCAATACATGGTCCAAGACCTCCAACCTAAGAGTGATATGATGCCAAATGGCATCATCTTGATTGGACACATGTCAGTTGTTTGTACCAGATTAGTTGAGTTGTTGGGTTTGTTTGCTTAATTAGTTGTATTAGTTACCATAAATAAGGGTTGAATGATGAATGGGTTGTCGTTGTATGGTTGTTAATCAGTCATAGACTATATTACTGTACACCGAATGAAAGTTGAAGCGTGAGTTCCTATCAAATAGCTCATAACCTAAAACAATTCAGTTATAAGCAAATAAAAATATCACTGAATTATTGATGAGTGATTTTTTAAAAAAATAAATTTTACGAGAAAAACCGTTGTCAATAATGAGTCAGAACCACCAAAATTAATCTTCGAGTAAATTTTCAGCAAGAGGTTTTATTCTATAATAATAATAACGCAACGGTTATAAGAAAAAGAATAAGTGATTTTCACGCTCACCTTTCGTCCGCTTATGCAATTTTTTCCACGTAGTTTGTTGATTGAATGAAAAAAAGAGAGATTCAACAGATCAAAACAAACGAAATGATGTAAGAAAAATGGAAATGTGAAAACCACTGAAATATATTAGTACCTAATGTCGATATATAGTTCAAATCAATCATTTTCTAGATAGCAAATCGACGTAAAAGTGGTTATTCTAGTGGCCAAATGCAAACAAACAAACATTTTTGTTTGTTATCCAGACAATCTCACATCTTACAGTCACGGGTGACCCTATCAATATTCAGTGCACGATTAAATTATAATTACAGGGGCTGCAGCCAAATCTAAAGAATGATTTTGATGCCAAAAATTATGAAGCTTATCTGTCCCTAGTGATTGAATCAATACATCCACCCACTTACACTTTTAACACACCCCTGCTTTGTCTTCAAAAGCAAAAAGGACATTTGGAAATAGGCTAAATTGGATTAATAGTCTCGTGGTAATAGGATAATCGGAAAATAGCATCTGTAGTGAAAAAATTCGGATTTAAACCCTCGAGAAGAAGTCTGTTAGGATTCAAGCCCAAAAAGTCTGAATTTTTTCACCACGGACTTCACCACAGGGGTTATCTTTTGATTACCCCTATCACTAAGAGAACCATTAATCCACTTTAGCCGCGGAAATATTCCAAGACAAACCCCCAAAAGAATGTTTTATTTCTGTAACACAAGAAAAGAATAAAAGCAGAGGTGTTTTAACATGTAGTACAGAGCAGCCATCTCTTTCCAAACAAGTTTTGTAGGTTTCCCTTGCTCAACTCAACCACCTGCATAAACAAAATCTCCAAGACTCACGACAATCAGTATAAAACGTCCAAGTTTTTGTACAGTAGAGGACCTGACCTCTGCTAAATATTTGCGACCAGCTCAACTATGTACCACCCATAAGAATCGTGCTAAACACAAAAAGACATAAGAAAATTTTACGTACTTGTTCACGCTAATTGTAATTTTCATCGCTTCTCGGTTCACAATCACGACGCTAACGAACTTTCTACTAGTCGTTTTCATCTGTTATGAGCTGCTGGTGCAAACAGTGTGTTATGATAAACACCAATTAGTTCTCCTTCGTTCAATTAATTAACCGAAACTATTAGCTCAGCTGAAACTACAAAACAGTAGTAATAAACAACATCAAAATTCCATGTGTTCATTCCCTCAGAAATCTAACGAACCTAAAAACTGGAAATCGAATTCTAAACTCAATTGGAAAGAAAAATAATCTGCTTTCAGTTTAGACCAAGACAATAAAAATAAAAAACAGATGGTTCCAAACTTTTACCTGGTAACAGAACCAGCAACACTTGCATAACTAGTGACCTGTATTACCAATCCAGTGGCCTGTATCTTTTGCCTCCAGTAATTTGTATATCTAGCACTCCATCACCTTCAGCCCTCTAAATACATCCCTACAGTAAGTCCATTAAAAAGCCAAATGTGACTTGTTCGTGAAAGTACATAAATGAATACCAAATGTTTATTTTATTATACCATATGTGACGTCCTCTAATTTACTAAACCAAATGTTTATTTTATTTTTGTAAAAGGCTAAATAAATAGAATGAAAAAGCTCAAATTTAATTTTGTGACTCGAACTCTTGAAGAGAAAACAAGACGTTAAAAACCAAGGTTCTAAAAGATGCTAGGCACTAGTCGGGCGATGGGATAGGGCCTTGCACCTAGGCTGCTAGGCGGGTGCCTAGGTAGACTAGACGGATTTATGTAAATCTATTATATTTCTTGTAAATAAGTGTCAGTTTATACTTAAAATATAAACAATTTCATCATAAACTACAAAATACAATGACATATATTTTATGAAGTATTGGTACATCGTGAAAACATAGAGAACAAGCATATAATGTGTGTTCGTTTAAGTTTACAATAAGTCTCTTACAATTTGTTGAAAAAAAAATAAAATGCAAAATGAAAGTTATCTATTTTCTGTCTAAGTGAGTTGCAACCTAGGCAAGTGCCTAAGCAGGTCTGGGTGGGCGCCTCAACAGGTCTAGGCGCCATTTCTTAATTTTCAAACATCTAGGCATTAATCGGGGAGGTGGCCAGCCGCCTAACGCCTAGGCGGGACCTAGACGGCGCTAGGTGAAGATTTTTAGAACAGTATTAACCACACATTATGGCAAGAGAAAATGGGGGTGAGGGGAACAAAGGACCCCAGATGCAAGACTACTTGCTCTTGACAACTTGAGCTACAAGAGCTCATCATTAATATTCGTTAGTAAAGATTGATCATTCTATTAAAACTAGCATAATACTTGAAGCAGCAAGAGATTTCCAATGTCGCAATCATTTAATGAATTTTGTGATCACATACATTGAAACTGGACATCCAGAAGGAACAATAAACTGTGTAGTTTAGCTCATGTGAACGCTTAAAACAAAGTAAAGGCCATTTTGTTTTTCTCAAAAGTAATAAACAAATTTTAAAGTTGAGCAACCAATAAACTGATCTGCTTACAACCGAGAAATTCACATATCATCCCATCCCTTGAACCCATCAAAAGCAATCGCTTTTAAACCCCCACACTGCTGTGGCCAAGAGGTCCAAAGAAGAATAAAAGACATCAACAGCACAAGGAACAGAAAACTAAACAGATACCAGGTTAGCCCAAAACCAAGGAAACAGAAACATCCAGGTGAAACAATGCAACTTTTGCATGTCGCAAAAGAAATAACCCCCAACTTAACACTGATGAAGTATAAAACCAGAATATCTAGGCCTACAAGTTTCGAGTGGTCATTGAGTTATAAACAGCTTTGGAATATCGACCAAAGGATGAAAACTTATCAGTGATCACGTACAATTTTGAAAAGAAAAAAAACTTATGTGCATGGCTTCACGTGTAAAGGGTTATGGTATGTTATGTTTGTGATGTATTCAACAGACAAGAGTAGCAATGGAAAATTGTTGTATCAGAAGAGATAATTTACGTGCCTGATATAAACAGCATTGAACATGTGTGATTCGTGTTACTTTAGAAAGCCGACACATTCTCTCTGCACCAACTCATTTGAAACACAAACGATACTGGAAGACGGAGAGCAAATATACACCTTGATGTACTGTTGAAACTCAACCCAATGTGCTAATCTATGAATTTTCTTCTAGAAGATATGGACAGACAATATCTTTGTACGTTTGCCTATCAGGAATTACTCCCTTAGTCACCATGTAGTCATGCAATGCAACGACTTCTTCTGTGCTACAACTCTTGTTCAAATTGGTAATGAGAGTGGTGTATGTTACAAAATCCGGAACCATGCCCCTTGAAATCATTACCTTCATTAGTCCCTTTGCTTGTTGAATACACCCAAACTTGCACAAAAAGTTGATCAATATATTGTAGGTGACTATATTGAATGAAATTCCACCCTCTTCCATTTCCTGAAGCAAAACAAATGCCTGATCAATCATCCCGCTGATGAAATACCCATTTATCATTGTGTTATAGGTTACAATGTCAAGAACATCCATCCTCTGTAACGAATCCATCAAAAGTTTTGCAACATCCACTGATGCCTCTTTGCATAACCCATTTATAACAGAATTGTATATCACCAAATTAGGTTTTTTCTTCCCCTCGATCAATTTTTCATAAATCTGAACAGCACTTCCTATGCTCCCTTCTGTTATGATTTGGAATTACTTCGGTCACAATTACTAAGAAGGGACCAAAATGTAATAAGTGAGATAAGTTTGGGGGGTCATTTTCCTATTTGTAGTTGTAAAGAGAGTTGTTTACAGGTTTTCTGCTGTACTGGGTTACTATATAACCATTTGTGAATCTTTGAGTAAGAGATATATACAATTTACAAAACAATTCTGTTCTGCGTTCTCTTTGACTTCTCCCGCCCTCTCTGATCTTGCAAGCAGGTTTAGGTTTGAGCCTTGCTAGGGTTTGGTGCTAACATTGGTATCAGCCTCTGGTCCTGGTTCCCTTCCGCGCATGCCCCGTGCTACTACCACTAGTCGTATCTCTGTGATGGACGGCCGAGTTGCTGAGCTCGAGAATTCCATGGCGTCGCTCAAAGCTTCTGTTGATGCTTCCATGGATGCTCTTCCTTCTTTAATTGACAATGCGGTCGCTGCTACTCTCGACACTAAATTGCAGATCTATTTCGAGCAATTTCGTCGTGAGCTGCACTTTCGTCCGAGCAGTAGTGGTCATCCTGTGCATCTGGTGCCTGATTGTTCTGATCCTCGTGCTTCTGCACCTGATCTCCGTCCTCCGAGTCTGAATCGTTTTGGAGGTGATCATCCGCCGCGGCCACCATGGACACAGCGCATTGAGTTTCCTCGTTTTGTCGATGGAGATGATCCGATTGCGTGGATCTACAAAGCTGAGCAATTCTTTTCTTACTACAACACTCCGTCTGATTCTCGAGTGCTTACTGCTTCCTTCCATTTCGATGGTGAAGTGTTGCAGTGGTTTAAGTGGCGCGATTGTTTGCGTACTACACCAACCTGGGAGCAGTTTACTCACGCTTTGTGCTTAGAATTTGGCCCACTCGAATTTGAGGACACTGCGGAGACACTTTTTAAGCTGCGCCATACAGGTACCTTGAAGGATTATATCTCTGAATTTAGGCGTTTGGCTACTCGTACTTCTGATATTAGTCCTGTGTTGCTTAAGAGTTGCTTCCTGGGTGGTTTAAAGAAGGAGCTGAAGTTCGATGTTAAATTGCTTAAACCTGCTACTGTCCATGATGCAATTGCTATTGCAGTCCAATTAGATGCGAAGTTTACTGAGTTTAAGAGTACTCAGGGTAAACCTTCTCCTATGTTGAAACATCCGTTGGTCTCTGCCCCTACTCCTATTCCAGTGCCCCCACGCCCTGGTAATCTGCCAGTTAAGCGCTTATCCCTTGAGGAAGTTCAACGAAAGAGGGAGCGCGGGGAGTGTTGGTTTTGTTCTGATAAGTGGACACGGGGGCATAAATGTGGATTAAAGCAACTTCTTATGTTAGATCTGTTGGATGGTGGGGATGAGTGTATGACTGAGGAGTTGCCTGAGACTCCAGAGTTGTATCACATGGCATTGAGTGCCTGCGCTTTTTATGGTACCACTGCTAGTCCACCACTGCAAACAATGAAGGTCGAGGGTTTGTTGAGGGGCCATTCTGTCAAGATCCTTTTGGATTCTGGGAGTACTCACAATTTCGTGGATTCCAAGCTTTTGAAACAGTGGGGATTTCCTGTTCAATCTACAAGGCCTTTTGAAGTTATGATTGCAGATGGGGGAAAGGTGCAAGGGTCAGGGTGTTGTAGGGATATGCCATTGTCCTTGGGGGGTTACAAGTGTGCAGTAGACCTTTATGCCTTGCCATTGGGAGGATGTGATGCAGTGCTTGGTGTACAATGGCTTTCTTCTGTGAGTCCAGTTCTGTGGGATTTCCAACTTTTAACCATGGAATTTTCTAAGGGGGCTCAGAAGTTTAAGTTGTTTCATAGTCCTTCAACAGTCCCATTCATCCAGGAACTTCCATTGCATAACGTTGATAAGGAACTTAACAGTTCTAATCTTGGTTTATGTCTTTATTCTTTGGACACTACTCCGCTGGGATCTAGTAATCTAAGTTCTTCACAGCTGCAGGAATTACAAGCATTGTTGGGTGAATTTGAAGCTATTTTTGAGCTACCTACTAAACTGCCACCATCCAGGTCACTGGATCATTCTATTCCTTTAGTTCCTGGTGCTAAACCACCTAACTTGAGACCTTATCACTATGGACCTCTTCAGAAAACAGAAATTGAGAAGGCTGTGCAGGAGCTTTTGGAGGCAGGATTTATTCGGGCTAGCCATAGTCCATTTTCCTTCCCTGTACTGTTAGTCAAGAAGAAGGAGGGCACATGGAGAATGTGCATTGACTATCGGGAATTGAATGCACTCACAATTAAAGATAAGTATCCAATTCCCCTCATTGATGACTTGCTGGATGAGTTGCATGGTTCCAAGTATTTTTCTAAGCTTGATCTGCGCTCTGGATATCACCAAATTTTGATGCAACCTGAGGATGTGGGCAAGACAGCATTTAGAACCCACGAAGGGCACTATGAGTTCTTGGTGATGCCTTTTGGGCTCACTAATGCTCCTGCCACATTTCAAAATGTGATGAATGATCTGTTTAAACCATTCCTCAGGAAGTTTGTGCTTGTCTTCTTTGATGATATACTCATTTATAGCACCTCTTGGCAGCACCACTTGGTTCATTTGAAAGAAGTCCTTACTGTGCTTCACCAAAACCACCTCTACCTCAAAAAATCTAAGTGCTCTTTTGGTCAGAGTAGTGTTGAGTATTTGGGCCATATAGTGTCTCAGGATGGAGTGGCTGCAGATCCCTCAAAGCTCAAAGCCATTCAGCAGTGGCCTCAACCCAGAAATGTCAAGGAGTTAAGGGGATTTTTGGGGCTGACTGGCTATTATCGCAAATTTATTCCCGGTTATGGGAAGGTCTGTCAACCTTTGTACAATCTGACCAAAAAAGAGGGATTTGCTTGGAATGAGTCAGCTAGTGAAGCTTTTAGACAGCTTAAGAGCATTATGTCTTCACCACAGGTCTTAGCACTTCCTGATTTCTCTCAAACATTTGTAGTCGAGTGTGATGCTTCTGGAAATGGTATAGGTGCTGTCTTGCAACAAAATCATAGGCCTATCGCATTTTTCAGTCAAGCATTGGGGCCTAGGAACCAGGCATTATCGACTTATGAGAGGGAGCTTATTGCCATAGTTCATGCCATACGCAAATGGCAGAATTATCTGCAAGGGAGACACTTTGTTATCAAAACTGACCATAGCAGTTTGAAGTATTTCTTGGGGCAGCGAACTAACACTCAATTCCAACAAAAATGGGTGGCTAAGCTTCTCGGGTTTGATTATGAAATTCAGTATCGAAGTGGGAAGGAAAACACTGTGGCAGATTCTTTATCTCGCATTCCAAACCATCAGGAAATTGTTGCAGGGGATAATATGGAATTAGCTGCCATATCTTATCCGTATTTTGGATGGATGGATGACTTGAGAAGGTATAATGAGAGTGATTCTTGGATCCTGGACAAAATTAAGGAGGTGGCTGAGTACAAACTTAAAGGCACCAGCAATCCTGCTTTAGCTAAATATTCTGTTGATAATGGATTTTTATGCTACAAGAAGAGGGTGGTAATTAGTCCAACTTCTCAGTGGAAAATCAAACTCATGGAGGAGCATCATTGTACACCAGCAGCAGGTCATCAAGGGGTAGCTAAAACTTATCAACGAATTAAGAAGGGGTTTTATTGGCAAGGGATGAAAGGGGATATAAGGAAGTTTATTGCTGAATGTGCCATATGTCAACAAAACAAGTTTGAAACCATTGCACCTCCTGGATTGCTTCAACCCTTACCTCTGCCACAAAGGGTGTGGTCTGATATTAGCATGGATTTTATAGTTGGATTGCCTAACTGCAAGGGAAAATCAGTCATCATGGTGATTGTGGACAGACTTTCAAAGTACAGCCACTTTATTGCACTGGCTCATCCTTACAGTGCTTCTATAGTTGCTCAACTATTCATAGAACATGTTTTCCGATTACATGGTATGCCTAACTCCATTGTGAGTGATAGAGATCCAGTGTTTGTCAGTGCTTTTTGGAAAGAACTCTTTAGACTCCAAGGTTCCAAACTTTGCATGAGTTCTGGATATCATCCGCAATCTGATGGGCAGACAGTGAATCGATGTTTGGAGACCTACTTAAGGTGCTTTGTGGGGGGCCAGCCGAGGAAATGGGTTCAATGGTTATCATGGGCAGAATCTAATTGCTTTAGGGTTTAGGATATTGTGGGAGAAAACATCCTTGACGAGGTTCTTCTCAAGGATGTGGTTATGAAATCTAATTGCTTCCGTCAGAAGCCCACTTCTACAGAGCCCCTTGATGAGGATTGAGTAGGTGAACTGATCAGGGAATATATGCCTATCAATCATGTCAGACAATAAGGAAAGAGCTTCCTCAGTATCTCCTTCTATGTAAAGCCGATGGATAATTGAATTGTAAACAACAGGATTAAGGGTCAAACCCCCTTCCACCATTTCATCGCACAATTGAAGTGCCACCTCCAAACTCCCCTGTTTTGCATACCCATCTACTAGAGTTGCATAAGTCCTCAAATTAGCCTCAACACCTGGCTCGGTCATTTCACCACGAATTTCTTCTGCAACCGATAAACCACCAATTTTGCAAAAACCGTTAATGATACAGTTGTAAGTAACTGAATTGGGCGTAACACAGTCCTCCGACATTACCCCTATCTTTCTCAAAACCTTCAAGGCAAGTTCCATATCACCCATCCTGCATGCTCCATCTATAATCATGTTAAAAGTAACAACACTAGGCCAAATTCCACTCTTCAACATCCGATAATATCCCGACATTGCTTCTAATAACTTGCACTCCTTACAAAGAGCATACATAACCAAATAGAAAGTATTAACATTTTCAACATAACCATATGAAAGCATTTCCTTATACATCTTCCAAAACCTATCAATCTCATTCAACTTAATCACATGGTTAAGAAAGTTATTCCAAGCGTGAATCGAAACCCAGTAACCATCCAATCTCAGCTTTTTAATCACCTCATAAGCACCATCCGTGGCCCCAAGCCGAGTACAAGCCCTCACAAGTGCATCAAACACTGCAGGGCTTGAAAAACCACAACCTTCATCATAGCTAGTAACCAACCCTTCCAAAACAACCAATGGGGGCAAACCCTCTTCCCCCATTAGACTCTCCATAAGAGACAGGGCATCATCGTACCTCCTAGAATTGATCAAAACATGAATTAAAGTACAAGAAGAATCCAAAAATTGAGGACAACAACTCTGGTTCGTACGAACCCAGTTGTAAAACTCTAAAGCCAACTGCGGCGAGTTCCGAAACTCGCGAACAACACGGCTGACTAATGAACTGGTTAGAGTGAGGGATATCTGTAATAACCATAGAGTCATGTTGACATATGGCAGTGTGTCATTGGTTAGTTACTTGGTTTGAGTTAGTTAGAATGGAGTTGTTAGAAAGGGTAATAGAGTCATTGTGTAATGTGATATTAGCTAGTATAAATAGCTAATATAGATGTTATGTGTGTGTATTCAGAAAAACTCTACTTCTTTACTCTGTGAAATACAAAACCTCTCGACTTCTCTTCTTTCTTCACTTCTGTTCACGTATCTCTGTTCGATACATTAGTTAATATGGTATCATTGCCGGCGAAGGTTTACGGCCGTGTTCGATCCCAGGGGTTTCTTCCGCTACTCTGATGCAGATTCTTGGTGGTTCTTGCAAAGGTTTTCTGTCGCTGATCTGGTGAGATTGTTCGTGTTTCTTTGTCTGGGTTTTCTTGAATGTTGATTTTGTTCTGTAAAAAAAATGGCGTTTGAGATTCTGTCACAATTCTCGTGAATTGGGGATTCTGTTTTCTCCTAAATTGCTAAATTGGTGAATTGGGGATTCTGTTATGTTTTCTCCTGATTTGATGAATGCATTCTGGTGTATGAATTGTGAAATTGTCTGTTAGTTGAAGTATTGATTGCAGTACTGTAAATTGGTCGCATTGTTGCAAGAAAGGGTTCGTCTTTCTTGATTTGTTTAGAGTGTCATTCTTTAGAATTGGTCTTGTTTTGATCATACAATTGTCTTGATTTGTGGAAATATCAATCTTTCTGTCATAGATGCGCCTTCGTTTAAAGTTGAAGGTGTTTTGGGAATGCTTACCATTAAGCTTAGGGATGATAATTTTGCTAAATGGGCATTTCAGTTTCAGTCGGTGCTAAGGGGGTATAAGTTGTTTGGTCATTTTGATGGTACCACTCCTTGTCTATCAAAGTTTGTTGTTGATTCAGAACATGGGGTTACAAGGGAGGTCACAGTTGCATACATTGAATGGGAAACTGTTGATATGGCGTTATTGAGTTTATTGCTTGCTACTTTAACTGATGAGGCTATGGAATATGTGATTGGATGTCGTACTGCATATGAGGCTTGGATTAATCTTGTTAATCGATATGCCACTGTGTCTAAATCTAGAATCAATCATTTGAAAACTGAACTACACACGATTCAAAAAGGGTCTGATACAATTGATAAATATTTGTTGAGGCTCAAGCATATTAGAGAACAACTAAGTGCTGCAGGTGAAACTATTTCAGATAATGATGTTATGATTGCTGGTCTTGCTTGTTTACCTAAGGAATTTAGGGTTATTCGTACTGTTATATTGGCTAGGGAGTCTACACTCATGTTGAAAGAGTTCCGAGCATTGTTACTCGGTACTGAGAGGGAAATTGAGGGTGACATGAACATAGTTACTCAGAATATGTCTGCTTTGTATGTGCAAGGGTCAAGTTCAGGTCCAGCCACTGGTTCTAGTTTAAACACTGGGTCTCACTCGTCTGCATCATCTTCAAATTCTCACAGTCATGCTCATATTCTAGCTGTCACTGCTGGTACTATCACAGCTGTACCATGTGATTCACTGTCATCCTTACCACCACCTCCAGGTTCACAGCCATACTTTTCTTCACAACCTCAATTCCAGCAGCCATATTATTTTCAAGCACCTGGTTTGTTTCCAAATGAGTCATATGGATATGGTTTCTCTGCAAATTCCAGTGGTCCACCTGTGTCTAGATCACAGTCCTCAAATGTACAATCTGGATCATTTGGGAATAATTACAGGGGTAATAACAACTACAGGGGTGTTAACAATTACAGGCATAATAATGATTTTAGAGGAAGAGGGAATACCTCAGTGCAATTGGAGGGATCAAGACAACTTGGGAATACTAATACCTAGTCAGGCATTGTTGATAATATAACTACAGTGGTGATTGAGTGTCAGATCTGCAACAAAAGAGGACACACTGCAGTTAACTGTTTTCACAGGAATACAAATATGCCAATCACAAGTGTTGCAGTCGAGTGTCAGATATGTGGGAAGAGAGGTCACTCAGCTTTGGATTGCTATCACAGGGGAAACTATGCTTATCAAGGCCATCCTCCACCTTCATCATTGTCTGCAATGAATGCACAACAGTCTCCTCACTCTTTTCCTCAAGATACCTGGATTGTTGATTCTGGTGCGTCACATCATATAACTTCTGACATTACTACTCTTTCTCAAGTAAAACCCTTTGAGGGATCTGAGAAAATAATAATTGGGAATGGTACTGGTCTTCCAATTAAACATATTGGATCTACTAAGCTTCAAACTCCTACTCATTCCCTGATTCTTAACAAAGTTTTACATGTGCCTACTATTGCTAGGAGTTTACTATCTATGAAACAGTTATGTGCAGATAACAACAGCTGGTTTATATGTGATGAGTCTGCATTCTTTGTGCAGGACAAGAAGACAAAGGAGATAGTGTACCAGGGAAAGAGTAGGCCTGATGAATTGTTCCAGATTCCTGTGGTCACAAGTGCAAAGGGTTCTCAGCATATCACCAGGTGTCCAGCAGCTTATCTGGGAAAAGCAGTGAAGAACAATGTCTGGCATCAGAGATTAGGACATCCAGCTCATGATGTAATGACTTTCATGTTGAAACAATCGAATATTCCAGTTCAAACAGATGATAATCATAATACTTGTATCTCTTGTATTCAAGGCAAAATGTCTAGGCTTCCATTTCTTGTTAGAACTAATAGGTGTACATCTCATTTTCAGAAAGTACATACTGATGTCTGGGGACCAGCACCTGTAAGATCTATAGAGGGCTATAGGTATTATGTAACATTTGTTGATGAATATACGAGATTTGTTTGGATATTCCCGATGAGCAATAAATCTGATGTGTTTACAATCTTTGTTCAGTTTTATCAGTTTGTCCTGACTCAGTTTGGCATTCCAATTAAGTCCTTGCAAACAGATGAGGGAGGTGAATATACAAGCAAGAGGTTTTCTTCCTTTCTTGCTGCCAAAGGAATTCTGCAACTAATTTCCTGTCCTTATACTCCTCAACAAAATGAAGTTGCTGAAAGGAAACATAGGCATATTTTGGACACTGCAATCACTCTTCTTAGTGCTTCTGGCTTACCTTCTGTGTTCTGGTATTTTTCTTGTGCTCATTCAGTTAGGCTAATTAATAACATGCCTTGCAAAAGCTTGTGTTTTAGCTTTTCATACTTGTCTTTATATAAGAAGCTACCAGATATCCAATTTCTTAAGATCTTTGGTTCTGCTGTATTTCCATGTCTCAGACCGTACAATAGTAACAAATTACAACCAAGATCAGTGATGTGTGCATTTTTCGGTTATTACCAAGGATACAAAGGTGTGATTTGTTATAACTTGCAAACCAAGAAGTTGGTTATTTCCAGGCATGTCTATTTTGATGAATCTCTATTTCCTGCCAGAATGGTTTCACATACAAGCCCTGCAAGAATGTATAGTCATGAGGAACAGGAACAATCAAGGCCTGTACCTGTGCTTGTCACTATACCAGTGTCTTATTCACAACGCAATACAACTTCTGCAGGTTCTCAACAGTCTTTATCTCAGTCAGGTGTCGAATTATTTTCTCCAAATACTACCCCATCCGAAGAACATGTATCACCAGAGCTAGAAGTTCAGGGGTCTGACACATCTCTTGTTCTTTGCTCTTCACCAGTTACTACTCCATTGCTACCTGTCATTGCACCTGCTCACCTACAGGAAGTTATTCCCTCTCCCTCACCACCACATACTACTAATTTAGTCCCCACACCTATCAATAGGGAGTGTATCCAAACCAGGTTAAGAACTGGTGCTATTTCCAGGAAAAGTTTTGTGGGTTGTCTTGCTTCTCTACCTTAGCTGTGTTCTTTACACCTTGATGATTTATCTTCTGATGGTTCATCTACCACCTTAAGTGTGCCTGTCTCTGGGGGTTTTTCCTTTATTGCTGACATTTCAACCTGTGAAGAACCTAGGACATTTAAAGCTGCTTCTTTGTCATTAGAATGGCAAACTGCCATGCAGGAGGAGTTCAATGCATTGAAATCTCAAGGCACTTGGATACTTGTTCCACCACCTTCCCATAGGTCTGTTATTGGCAGTAAATGGGTGTATAAGGTTAAGAAAAATCCAGATGGTAGCATCTCTCGGTTCAAAGCTCATTTGGTAGCACAAGGGTATACTCAGGAGCAAGGCTTGGATTACTCAGAGACATTCAGTCCAGTGGTTCGACATACCACTGTGAGACTTATCTTGGCTTTAGCTACTCAGTTAAGTTGGTCATTAAGACAACTCGATATCAAAAATGCTTTCCTTCATGGCGACTTGGAAGAAAATGTCTATATGAAACAACCACAAGGGTTTGTGGATGCTACCTGTCCTGGATATGTTTGCAAATTGGTCAAATCCCTTTATGGGTTAAAACAGGCCCCTCTAGCTTGGAACTCGAAGTTTACAAGCTATCTTCTAGCTATTGGCTTTTAATCCTCTTCTTCTGATTCTAGTCTTTTTGTCAAGATTGATGGTAGTGATATAATTCTGCTTTTCTTGTATGTTGATGACATAATTCTCACTGGTTCAGATTCTACTAAAATTCAATCTGTCATTGATGATCTTGCTGGTGTATTTGAACTCAAGGATATGGGGAGGTTAACATATTTTTTGGGATTGCATATCCAATATAGAGATGATGGTTCACTGTTTATCTCCCAAGCTAAATATGCCAAGGATGTGTTACAAAAGGCAGGAATGGATACCTGCAAATATACATCTACGCCATGTAAGCCTCATACTCAAATTCTTACTGGTGAAGGAACATTGGTGTCTGATCCTAGTCACTATAGGAGCATCGTTGGGGCTCTACAATACCTTACTTTTACTCGCCCTGATATAGCCCACTAAGTGAACATGGTCTGCCAATTCATGGCATAACCAACTGATGTCCACATGGTTTTGGTCAAAAGGATCTTGAGATATATTCAGGGGACAATTGGTTATGGCTTACACTATACCAAAAGC